CCCCCCACTAGCACACACAAATACACTGTACCCAACTGCCATATTTAGCTATTAACATAACCATCGTCTGCATAAAGGGTGTAAATAGAAACCACCCATAACCAAGATAACGTGTAGTCATAAAAACTATAATCACACACAGACATAAATTGGATGCACCTATGGAGCCGCTGCCATCCTGCATTAAACAGTGAGTACTACATGAAGCAACTGAGAGATGCTGACAATTGTTTGAGGTGCTTTTTGCTGCAATGCAGGCAATTTATCGTAATAAGTGCTTGATGTTCCGAGCTTTTTCCGGGCTTGGGAGTGACTGCTGATGTGTGTAAAACATCCACTTCTGCCTCAATCGCCTTTTCATCACGCCCTCCAAATAGCTATCATATAAGTGTGAGTTTGTGTGTGTGTGGTATCTCTTATCCCCATGACGACAGGGGACTTCCCCTCAGTAATCACGCTTGGCGGTCTTTCATTTAGCGGTTAATAGTCGGGGCATACTGCTGCTGGGCCAGACTAATGAGGTGATGGAGGCTGTTAGGAGAACAGCTCTGTGAGCGCTGGCATCCCCTAATCATCCGGACCTTTCTGATGTTAGACCCCGGCCGCTGTGTATGACTTCATACCTCTCAAATGTTCTTCTTGTCCTCTGTCTTTATTGTCCTCCCACCTGACGCAATCGTTTCCACGCCCGGCGATCAATCGTCTCCGGCTCTCACTCGGTGATTGGAGCTGTGTGTTTATGTGTTAATTAGTGATGAGAAGCCAGCATTCATTTACTTCCTGGTACTGCACGCGATGGAGTGTGTGATGCATGGAGGTTTCATTGATTTCCAATTGACGTGGAAATATATCTTAGGAGCTTGGATAGTAACTTATTTTACCTCTCACAACAGGTTTAAGTCAGTTCTCCTTTTGTTTCGTAGATACATAATCACGTATATTAACTTAGCTGTGAATAATAGCATCCTTAAAAAAAGCATTGTTGCCTTAAATGTTGACTTTTTGGTACTTTTCTTCTCATTTCCTGTGCTAAGAATCTACACACTCAACATCTAGTTACTCCTCTTGGATGAATATTCTGATGACAGCATGTGTCTGTGTGAGGTTCCATCAGTGCAGTCCCAGACCACCAGGTGGCAGTAAACCCCCGAGCAGGACCGCACGCTGTCCCTCCACACAGGGAGAAAATTAGATGCAATCCCCCGAGCATGAAATCAGCTTTCCTGTTATTTTCCTCTACTGCTTTCCCCTCTTGTGTTTCTCACTCTCTCTGTCTTTATCTATTCTCTATTACAAACACACAACCCATCCAATTTATGTAGTTATGGATCATACAGAGAATATTGTTTGATTGTACCAACAATGCAAAATACAATCGTACTGCCAGCAGTTTTATTGTCCAATTGAAGCGATAGAAACACTGTCTTGCGTGTGTGTTTTTGTACGACTGTCGTTCTATCTGTCGAGCCGAGAGAGAGTTTTTAATTAACAATGTGGGAGTGGAGCTTCTCCCTCTGTTTCCCTCCATCTCTCTGATAGCTGGCAGCAAACATCAGTAATTGTCTGCTTCTCTGACTCTGTCTCTAGCCACTGTCCAAATGAACAAACTTGAGCAAAGTAAAGTGAACATTTCTGCAAGTGAAGCCTCCTCCTCGCGGTCTCATCCTTGTTAGCGTCGAGCTTCCCGTACCCCTCTCTGCACTCCGCTCATTGTAGCCAACAGGGCTGTAGGTGGCGAGGAGAAGAGAAGAAAATAAAAACCTTAGCAGGGGGAAAGAAAAAAAAAATCTACACTCCTTCCATTTATTCTTGTGTACCCCTGCAGCCAGTACTTTGTCACTGCACACCTTTACTTATGGGAACAAGGCACAAAGGAGGCCACATTAAGATCCATTCGGAAAATCTGGAGGTACATATCGTTTAAAAAAAGAAAGAAAAGGGGGTGTGTCTTTTTATAGCATTTTCTTCCTGCTTGGTTCTGGCTCACTGCTTTTGTCATGCTCATCTCCATCTCCCTGTCGTCTCGTATCCATCCCCTTTTTCCTCTCTTCGCCTCCTCTTTCTCCTTCTCTCGGTTTTCTTCTGAGCGGACCTCTCCCTGTCAGCTTCTATGAATACAGCATATTTTCATTTAAATCCAAGGACATGGGAGCTGTGGGCCAAGTAGGAGGAGCAGCGGACACTCCTCTTCCACATCCAGAGCAATTACTCAACTTACGTAATAGAATTATCTCCGCTAAAGGTCGCCGCATTGTTCCAGAGTCGGGAACATGGTAAACAAACAGACAGAAATAGTGGAAACGGGCGAAATAAGACGCGCAACAGAATACTGTTTGTCAGTTTGATGCTGGCATCGGTAATTGCTTGGATAGATTTAGTGATGAATTTATCTGCCAGTGTATTGATCCCAGCCTACCCTCTGCTGCTGCTCAACCCAATGTCCTTAATTCACTTTTCAAGGCATGCTCAGAGGGCTGTAACCATATCTGGCTAACTGCTTACATAAATGACACTGTAGCGGCATTGCTTCCTTCACTAACATAAAGGAAAATAATCATGGCATTCGCCTCTTAGTCCTTTTTTCCCCCTGCGCTCTTTGGGGAGAGAAGCGAATAGAGGAACAATAAAGTACAAAGGAGGTCTTGGGGTTGAGGAACAAGCTGTGTTTGCTCTAGCCCACAATGTTCTTCTCTGGAGAAAATCAACAATGATAACAGCATTTTCCCCTATTGACTGATGTGTCTGCTCGACAGTAATAAAACCAGAGGGGGGGGAAGATAAGGCAGCCACATAATGGCGCTATTCAATTTGACATGACGTCAATGATGAGTGAAGGTTTAAAGAGCAACTTCCAGATTAAAGACACCTGTGAATAAATGTGTAGGAAAATGATGAATACACTAGATTTTCCCAAAAATATACAGAAATATACACTACAGTGACATCTGGTATAAATAAAAATGCCTCGGCATGTGACCTCCCGCGTGTGACGTAACATGGGGGAAACAAGGGGGAGAGCGGCAGGTGTAACGTATAAATAAACATGGATCCCAATGCTAGTTTCGACACAGAAGACACAGAAGAAGTTGAACATGAATATTCGAATGCATATGACGGACCACAACCTTATAATTATGAGCCTGCTAGGCGTCCAAGAGACCAGGAGCAGCCAAGGATTAGAAGAAATAACGGCCATCGGAGAGAAATTGAGCTGTGGTGTGAGGAGAACCAGTGGAGAACTGGGCAGCTATCTTGGTGAGTGACCGGCGTTAGCTACAGAATGTTAGCTAACGTCACATCACAACATTGTAAAGTTAGCTATCATATATCAGGCTATAACTAAAGTAGCATTGATAATATAGTAACGTTACTGGCAGGACTGTTGATACTGATCCATAACAGAAACTAATGCGCAAGTATCAGCCGTCTGTTACCTAATGCAACTGGCGGAGAAAGGTTGTGGAGCCTCCGTTGATATGCCGTTGTAAATGGCTTGATGGAAAGCAGGTGTGTAGTCGG